ATTGATATTTTTCTACAAGGTATCCATAAATTTACCCGCGAAATTTGGCAACTTTCTGTTTACTACGTCGATCAATACGTCGATCGTCTATCAATAAATTAAATGTAAAAAAAATTGTAAAATATTCAATATTTATAATTATTTAGTCTTTTTATAGCTAACTAAAACGTTAGTCATAGCATAATTTTAATAGAGGTATATTGGATTTTGCCGATAAGGCCGCCCTTCGTATATACACATTCTGTGTTAAATACTCCTAATATACATCTCTATTATGCGCCATAGAGTTTATTATTATTATTTTGATGGTAAAACAAATTATGAAATAATTACTATTAAATAATATTTTAATAGTAGATTTACAATTAAAAATGGTCAATTTAAACCCTAACTGCTTTAAATCATAAGTTGCAGATTAAAAACCCAGTCGGTACGAATTTTCTAATCGCAAAAAATCTAATATTCCATCATAGAAGGTGATTAGATTAAGTGATATATTATGACAGAATCGTATCCCCATTCGCTAAGGTATTCGAGTAAAATCTATTATTAAGAGCACTTGCACCATCCTGGACCTCGGCAATACATTTATAATGAGTGGTCTCGTCTCACCTGAATCCTTTTAATCCCCCATGTTATTATTGAGATCAGCCGACGTCCCACAGTTTAGTATTAATAATACCTTTTATAGCCACTTAGTACCCAGTTTTGCTTTAAACGTGTCTCGTCCTCAATCTAGCACTATTTTTAATCGAGAATAATTTTTAGATGTTAAAATTTTTATAGCGTGTCAAGAAAATATATTTTGCGGGTAAAATTTTGACCCTAAATTATGTGTAAAAGAACCCATAATTAGAGTTAAATTTTAACTTTTAACTGTACACAAAATTGAATTGGATTTAGAGATTATTTGTGACTTTACCCGAGAGATTTTGCTATTAATAATGAAGAGTTTTAATAGGACTAATAGAAATCAATATAGTAATCTTTAGAAAATTTGTCTATGTGTGTGTTGTTCCGGTATCACACAAAATCTTCTGTACCAAATTGAATTGGGTTTTTATTGCTGTGTTCCTGAGACCTAATTTAAAAACCAGTTAACCAACCAATAAAATATATATTTTGATACGTCATCTAAAAATGATCTATTTCATTGATTTCCCCACTAAAATCCTCGTGTACGAAAAAACAAGCAAAAAAACTAGCTAAGGCAATACAATATGGATCTAAACTAGACGTTACATATTTACTAAATTTGTAATATTATGTCGGAATGTTCGACTAGCGTTACTGATTAATTAGAAATGAATGTACAATGATTAAATACGCTCTATTTTTAGTACCGTTTTTTAGTACTTGATTGTGCATTTAGGTTTTTTTTTTATTGCTTAGCGAGTGTTTAATTTTTATGCTATTAATATTATAAATGAAAAATTGTAAAAATAGTTGGGAGAATGTATTAATATATGGATATTTATTATTCTTTCGCTTAAAAAATACTGAATGGATTTAAATCAAGTTTAGTTTACGGTTATGTTATGTCCTATCTTAGTACATAGATTATTTACTAATTATTGCGAGTAAAGCCGCGAAATAGAGCTAGTATAAATAAAATTAAAACTGTCTATCTCTATCTGTGTTTAGAATATATAGATAATACTAGATCAAGTGCCCCCTCTTTTATATTATGTCATGGTACTGCTGTTTACGTATCATTACTCTTGGCCGTCGTAACGTGGGGTAATAAAACTATTATAGCGTCGTATATTATGATTTTTTGCGTCATACTTTATTATCTAAATAACGTCGTCAATAAAATTAACTGTATTTGAAGAAGTTATTAATTATTGCAATGTCATTAATATTAATAAAAAAAAAAGAAAACAGTTCGAACTAATTTTTTTTTTCAAATCGGCATTTTATTTATTTAAACTTTAATGCACAGTAAAGTTATATGTACATTTGGCGGACCGGACGGTGTTCTCTACAAGTCGACCATTGGGCAAACCTAGAAATAAGTAGGCGGTGTATTTTGCTGTATAGGAGAATCCTGAAGGTAAAATTTTCGATTAAAAAGTGATCCACAAAATAAAGATGAAGTCATTGCTTTGAGTTAATAATAACATCTCTCTTATTGAAGTCGATTATAAATTAATATTTAAAAAAAATCAATTGGAGTTATAATTGACAACAACAACGTGTAAGTAGCATATACACAATAAATGGAGGCACTGGTCTTTTCTTGTCTCTTAAAAATTTATAAAATTGAAAAAAAAGGAATTATATCAAAAACCAAACTTAATAAGTCCAAAGACAAAATAAACGTCCTTATTGGTTAATACTGTATGCATTATTTTGTATATCATAACCACAAATATACTTGTAAAATAATCTTATGAAGCCGGAAGGGAACATGGACAAATCTGATGGCAGCTGACGTCGCCACGGGCTAATCTCCGTAACCCGATGCCTCATGATGCCCTTCGAAGTACGGCTTCCTGTGGCACGAATGAATCACTCGCCTGTTATGTCACATTCGCTGATATTAAGTGAAAGTAAATATACTAATATGAGTATTATAAATCATGTTTGTAAGGATGTTGGAATGTTTGTTACTGTTGGGTAGCAATATTCAAACGACTGGATAGATTTGAATAAAATTTGGTACAAAAATAAAATATCTGTGTGTATATCTGTGTGTGTGTGTCTAGTACTAAGTTCATAATACTAATTAGTGCTGTAATTTATTAGTAAAATGGATGGTATATTTTGCTAGCTGGCATTGATACTTAATATATATTTTCAAACGTTTGAAAAAGGTAAAATTATTTTTATTTTCGAAATTAAAAGTACAATATCTCGCAAATCTGTTTTTCTCGTTATTGCCCATTCTAAGTGCCTATCGTTGAACGTAAACCTACTGAAATTGACATACGAATAGGTTTAAGTGAAAGAAGAGAAAGATAAGAGAAGAGATTGTTAGTAATGGAATCTAACAAACCCATTGCTAATAGTATACCATATCAGGTCGACCTCCACACTCAGATCGACATACCCCCTAGAAAGCATCGTGGTTAATTCTGATTGAATTCGTCACTATAGGCCAACTAACCTACTTTTATTCTCACCTATCAATCTTCTCTGGTGTCCTGTCGGCGTTTCACCGATAAAACAGACAGGGACATCATTCCATTTTCAATGTATAAAAAAAAACTTTACAGCACTTGGACTAAATATTTTCTAAAAAAATCTGATTGTTTGATGGGTATTCAATCATAATTAGCATATACTGTAAAAAAATCAAACTGAATATCACACTTTCTACCTGATATCTGAAAGGTACGGAAATGTTTAGTTGATTTGATTTTTTCTCATTGGAAAGTGTGTACAGACACGCGCTCTACTATCCCCGTAAGCCAGTGCAATTTCTAATGTAGTAGCTCCTTACACAGAAAATAACATTGCCACTTTATCATTTAATAGCTCTATTCGCGTGTTTGATCGCTATCCCATACATTTTAATGGGGCATTATACGTGACTTTGAATGTTTCAACCTTTTAAAGTGTCCAGAGAAAGTACAACAGCAATCCACAGTTTCTAGGGTTACCGCGAAAAAAAAATGGAATTAAATTGCCCATTACCTGACGAGTACTAATGAAGCGAAGGATAATAAAATTAAATTAATAATGCATTTAGAATATAATTATAATGACATAAATCAAAACACTAAATGCGCTATTTTGACTATTATATAACTTTTTTTTTCGACATAGAATAATTAGAGAAAATTTTGTTTCACTTTATAGCACACATCCTAAAAATCTTAATGATTTCATTTCAACCTGTCCTATAGATAACATGGAAAATTACGTTAAAGGTAGTTGAGTATGATTATCTATATTATGAATATCACATCAATTCTTGTGCATGTTAACAGTATTCTTAGAGAAACATCATCATCGTCATATAATTCTTTACTAAACATAAACCTTCCACATAGGCTGCCATAAGGAACGGTTGCGAGCCACCTGCATACACTGACTCCTAGCATTAGAGATTAACCTTGTCTAGTGGGAAGTTGTCCTGTACTGCATTTGTATGTACGGGGTTTTATCTGAGGAACCTTTCTGCCCCATCGATTGTCGGTTCTTTGAGCTATGTGACCAGCCCATTCCCACTTCAGCTTACTTATCCTTTGAGAAATATAATGTTACAGTAGTTTTATAAATCAAATGTGCTCATTCTGATCTTAAGTTTATATTTGAACTAATATAAATAACTATAAAATACAGCAAAACTTAACATAAAATATATAATAAATATGATCGCTATAAAATCTAGCGTAAAACTACTACGAGAAACTATTAAATTACCGATAAAAAACAAAATGACCGTAAAAAGTGGATGTTATTTATTACAACATTATATAAATTAATAGTATAACTCTAGCTTTCTAGTATAAGATTTTAATGAACATAAACATTAATGTACTTGTTAATTACTTAAATGACATTAGCATCTACTATTGAACTCTTAAGCTTAAACCATTCGTCTCAGTTTACATTTTATTAGATAGCGATAAACTTGATATGCTTATCCGGATTTCAATATTTACATGTTGGTAGTAAAAAGTTTACCAGATTCAGTAATTAATTAGGTTTTTAGAAATACATTTTAAGTGTTAAAACCTTATGTTGTTTTTAAGGGAATTTGAAAAAGATTTCTCAATTCATCTGTCTTTATTAACATTATGCCTTCGCCAATTTTGGTCCGATTTTTTTTGTGATTGATAGTATTTATTCATTTATTTTTGTATACAATACGCATTATATATGATCTAATTTAATTACTTCTGTATTAGTCTCATACTACTTTTGTCAAGATTAGTTATTATATATATATATATATATATAACTAGGTATAACAATGGTTAATTTTTCCTCAATGCAATTATTAATCATCCAGTCATATAATACAAATAACTTTATCTCGTTTCCAGCAGCAAGTTGTCCGCGGTCCCCCGCTAGCGCTGCCGCCGGCGACCTGTGCTCCCGCACCGCCCGCCTCCTTGGGCGCCGCGCCGCGCACCCTCGTCATACACAAGCCCGACGCGCGCCACAACTTCGGCTTCTCTCTAAGGCATCTGGTTGTATACCCGCCTGAGAACTTGGACGTTAGTATTAGCATCCCTATATGCCTATAATATCTAAAGCACGCATAGATTCTTGCCCCCCTTATTCATAAAAACAAACCTTTCTTAAACCTATTTAAGCTATTAAGCTGTTTTGTCCCTTTCTTTTTAGTTAAATTTCCTATTTGAAATAAAGTGACAAAACAGTGTAATAGTTCAAATAGATTTGTAGAAAATTTTAGTTTTAATGAAAGAGGGGGTTATGTCAAATTTCTTAAAAACGTCAAACTACTTATTAAACTATTTTAACTAGTGAATTGTTTGTCTCTTTCTTTTATGCTACATTCCCAATTTGAAAAAAAGTCAAAAAAACAATTCAAATTTCAAAGCTAACAAGAGTTTGTAGTAAGTTTTAGTTTTTATGAATAAGGGAGTTACTTTACGTACCGGTAATAATATCAAAAAACCGACTGCAATTATGACAAAACCAGTTATTTTGATTAAAAACCTAAAATACTGAACCGATTTTGATAAAATTTCTATGTCCAATCTGTAAGTCTAATCTGTCAGATAAATAAAGAATTTTCCAAATCGGTTATGAACTTACGGAATTATGAAGTAATAAACATAAAAAAATATACAATCGATTTGAGAATCTCCTTCTCCTCCTTTTTAAAGTTGGTTGCAAAGAAGAATTTTATAAAAAAATCAACTGTCTAAAAGGTCGGCAAGACGCACGCATAATATCTATAATATATCCACTGACCACAACTTACACTTGCTTTAGACGAATTATATTCTATAGTCTTTCATTGAAGTGTATGTAAAAATTTGTAAATTTAAATAAAATATCTATATTTAAGGTTGCATATTATTGTATTTTACAGGATTTATACGACGATGCGCGCCCCCTGGCGGTGGGCGCGGTCGTCGCGCCGATGGACACAATCTTCGTGAAAGCAGTACGGCCGGGGGGGCCGGCGGCTGCGGCGGGACTGCGCGCCGGGGACCGCATCCTCGCGGTCAACGGGGTGCCAGTCGCGTGCGGACAGTCGAGGGCGTCCTACCAAAGGGTGGTGCAGATCGTGCAAAAAGAGCCCCGCACGCTCAGGCTAACTGTTGTGCCGAGGGACCACGATTTATTGCAGAGGGTTGGTATAGTTTGACATTTACTGGAATTCCACGGCCTACATCTTATGCAGGAGAATCATGTTCAATGTTCAGACAGATAACGGATCGAACCATTTCAAACTGCAGTATACAGGCCAGAAAGAAATTGTTCTAAATATGAGTTACTTGAAATGTGAATATAATACTTTACCTTTGCGCGCAATAAAAAAAATATATTAATACTCTGGCGCACCTGTCAGAAACTTAATTATGTATGAAATTAACCATATAAAACTTCACACGAACTAAGTAACAAACAAAAGTCAAATAAAGCATAAGTTACAAAACCTGAAACTATTAATTATCGCACAGGTTATAAAACATTATCTAGCGTGATCTCACATCATTCGAGACTCGGTGACTCAGGATTACGTCTATAAATACGAAGTTAATACACGATTTTATGGGATCTTTGACCACTTCTGTTTCACCGGCAACCGATCATAAATGCCATTTTAGTATATTTGCCTACATCGATATGTCGTAAACTTGTGTCGTCTTGTGCTGAGGATTCTAAATTATATGTACTTAAGATTTATGTGGATACAGATGAAATAGATTATATTTACAAATAATGCTACTATTAATCGGGTCAGGAGTTTCTAGGCCACTATTGATATACTCAAAGGCCTTTGTCCATTGATGAGTAATATATAATGATAAAATTTACCGTGTAGTCTCGGCATAGAATGGGCTTCCCCTTACTGTCCCGTGAGTGTCGTAGGAGGCGACTAGAAGAATTCAGTAGTCGAAGGATGGGTAGTAATAGTGTTCCTCTTAAAACATTACCAAAGCCTGGCTGCGGTTACCAACCTGACTGCCAAGCGTGACAACTGTTGGCAAAGTTGGCGTGTTGTTCCCCCTTCTTCCTTGGGGGAAGCCTATGTCCAGCAGTGAATAGTTAATAGCTGATACAATACAAAAAAAAGTGCCAGCTAACATCAATGAACTGATTTTTAGATTAGGGTAACTAAAATATTATTAGAAAAAGACGAATAATATAGGGATGCCTTAAAAACATTATTAATGTGAGATATTTAACCTAAAGTATTTGATTTATTTTTCAGTATTTTAGCGAAGCCGCTTACAATCCAGAGTCGAACCAGCGACCTATAGAAATGCCGGCACCGGTAACAGAACTAGAGTCGCGTTTATTCGATGCCTACCGGAGGCCGAGGCCCGCGTTACCGGCTCCACAGACACCGAGGCACAGAGAAGACCCCGAGTACGCGAGCGTGGCACCACACGCAACGACTCGATTTGATGTTCCTCGGTTGACTGGCGCACCTCACTATTTTATGCATGACAGGTGTGTTAAAACTAAAATTTACCCTTTTTATAGTTTTATAAATTAATAGTTTTTATAATCACGAATCGTGATTTTTAATTTTTATTTTTTTTAGTCAAACAGTTGCAAATACTTTCCTTAAATCCTTTTAAATAGAATCGAATATAAACATTATACTTTTTTATTTCCAGCAGAAGAGAATCTGACATCTCGTTACCCTCGTCAGCAGCAGAAAGCAAAGACAGTCTCGGCTCGTTCGATTCAAATTCAACGTTGACCGGCCGCGAACAAGACGACTCGATTATCCTTTCCCGAATACGAAAGAGCCTCGAGCAAAAAGAGGCCTTCCTCCGACGTCCGAGCCAACCGACCGGTTGGGTGACACCGGACGCTCCCCCGCCGATTAAGCAAAAGGAATTCTATGCTAGGCCGCAAAAATTACAGAAGCCAGCGTGGCCCCCGCCTGCTGCTTCTCCCCCTCTCGCAGTTTCACCTCCACCCTCACAGCAAGTTCAGGAACAAAAGAAAGACGACTGTTCCGCCAGCGTTGACAGTGGGACATATAGTGGTTACGGCGAATTGAATGGTGCGCATGCAGACAAAAGTAAAACGAAACCAGATAAAAACCAATTTGTGACAACGTTATCTAAAATACAGGAGACTACACCAACAGTTCAGAGTACTAACTTTGGAACAGTGAGCAATGGATCGTCTACAGAGTTTAGAGATGAATCAGCATCTGCAAGTAATCAGGATAATAGCAGGTATTTATCGTCTTACAACTTTATTAGTTTTATATTTAATATCACATACTTTCTATTGAACTGGCATAAATCAACTTGGTAAATAAGTTGTATAAAAAAAAAGGAAATTGAAAATATCCTTTTCTTTATACAACTTAGAATGGCAAGCAAGCTGACGGCCCACCTGATGAAAAGTGGTAACCGTCGGCTATAGACATGAGCAGTACAATGGACATAACAGGGTATACTGTTTCGCCCATGATACCCCCCATGCGTTGCCATTCCTGAGGACTCAGGTGTTATTCCTCTAAATTCATACCCAGTAAATTCACGCCATATCCCACCTTTCAAACCGAAACACAGCCGTGCAATCGACTTTTGTACAAAGTCTCCCTCTGGTCCTATCTGTCACTCTTTGGATATTTGTCTATCCTGACACTTTTTGGATATTTGTCGGCGTAGCCATAATTTTTCCTGGTCTGCGACATCAAATTGTAACAAATGCTTGTAATTTGACTTCAGAAAAGTACCAAGCGAGCAGGAACCGAGCAGATATGGCGGCAGCGAACTGCAGCTGGTGACAGCGCGCACGCGGCAACTCGCGGCGGCGCGGGGAGCGGCCGCGTCTACAGAGGCGGCTCGCAGTGAACTCGCGCGGCTGTCCACCACGCGGCTCGAGCCTAGTGTCGCGCTGCGCCGCCGCGAGTTCGAAGGCCGCGCCGCCCGCAGAGATGCTCGGTCGCTTGACGTACAACCACACCAAGGTATGTACTTATACTGTACTCGCCACCGAACTTTTCCTACTTATATCATGACACTCAAAATGTAACATGATTTAAATGCTACTATTGTCGCAACTATAAAAAGTTACTAATATACTTACTTATTTTTTGTCGACTATCTCCAACCAAAATATTTTATACAAATATCTTATTTCGAAGCACTTTTAAATCGTAAATTTTTATATTGTACCCAATTGGAAAAGCCCTTTAATTGAAAAACAAATAGACACGTCACAGTTACATTACAAAAAATATTTGTTAATTTCATATTTTAGTATTTACCTGTGATCGTTTCGCTTTACATTCTAAAATTAATTTTACATATCGCTTTAAATATAATCTGACATACAGTTACATCCGTAATATTTCTAACAAGAAAAGGTTATGGATATAAAATGAATGATATACAAAGTTTTAAAGTATTAAAATGTACACATAACACAAGTGCATGCCGAATTATGAATTCGGCATGTACCTATGTTATGTGTAACTTTCTTTTTTAAATCGATTAAATCTTTTAAAATTGGAATCAAATTTATATTACAGAACTTGAGCATGAAATACCCATCGGCGGCAGTTTATCAGGCAACCAACTGATGATCACCGGCAGCAAACACCTCCATTGTCCACCACCAGAAGGATATGTGCCCGGTAAATATCTATACATGTATTAAACAACATAGATATAAATATATATCAAAAACGACTTATATATCCGCTTTACATATTCATTGATCTACCACCAAATGAATATCGGCAGAAAAGCAAAAAAAGTTAAACCACATGTCTAATGCCTGATTTTTTATTGAGAAATTACTCTAGTAAAGTAAAAAATGATGGTGTAAAATAATATTTTTATTATTTTATTAAATTAAAATAAATTAAAAAAAAAATATTCATCTGTCTATTGTGTTTGTTAGTTGCATTTTGTTTAATACCAGATATATCCCATGTTTTTTTTTTCTTTTCACTGCCCACTGCTGAATATAAGCCTCCCCTTGGGGGGGTTTTGCCAGTAGTTCCCAAGCTAGGCAGGCGCATTGGCAGTCAGGCTTTAGAGATATTTTAAGAGGGACGCTGCTATCCATCCCTCGCCCTCCCTTAGTCGACTCTTACGACACCCTCGGGAAAGGAAGGAGTGGCCTATTCCATGCCGGGATCACTCAGCTAACTTTCTATTATTAATACTATTATATATACCAGAGAGAGACTTTGTACAAAAGTCGATTGCTTGGGTACCTCTGTCCCATTCGTGTTTCAGTTTGGAGCAGTTGTTTGCATGTGTTTCGGTTTGAAGTGTGGGATATGGCGTGAATTTACAGGGTACAGAAGAATAACACCTGAGTCCTCAGGAATGGCAACGCATGGGGGGTATCATGGGCGAAACAGTATACTCTGTTATGTCCATGGTACTGCTCATGTCTATAGGCGACGGTTACCACTTTCCATCAGGTGGGCCGTCAGCTTGTTTGCCATTCTAAGTTGTATAAAAAAATACTATATTGTTGTATATTTACATATTATTATATGGTACTACTATATTAAAAGTACTATAACGTTCCTCAAGAAATAGACTATCATTTGATAAAATAAAATATCTGATATTGCCAATGATTAAGTCGTTCAAACAAACACTTCCATTTATTATATTAGTACAGATTTACATACATAAATTGTGCCAGTAACTTAATAAATAAATAAAGTTTGGTGGTAGATTAATCATAATTACCAGTTTAGTGTAGTGATCATCTTGACCTTGTTCCTAAATTTTGTCCTAACGACACAACTTGATTCGAACTTCTTCTTCGATTTGAACAAATCAATTTGTTCCAGAAACAGAAAAGGTTCAAATGCGAACAAGGTCAAATAGTACCGGTAGTGAAGGCTTACCCATTAGAAGACATCATGCCACAGGTAATATTCACGTTACCATGCTATACATGTACCGTGACTCCATTTTTAAACTGTCATATATAATATTTTATGTCAACCATAATTCAATACAGTATGTTCGTTAACTAAATCCATTCCTTAAAACTAGTGCTAGTGTTCACGTATAAGATCTTAAAAAAAGTTTTTTTTTTTTCTTAATAATACATTATATTACCAAGTTCTAAAAAAAAATTTGAATTCTCAAAAAAAGAACAAACTATGTCTGTAATTATTATATCAGCCCTTAACTGTCCATTGCTGAACATAGGCCTCCCCTATAAGGGGGGGGGGGGGGTTGCTAGTAATTGCCACGCTTAGTAGGGGGGTTGGCAACTACAGTTAGGTTATGCTGATGTTTAAAGTTGGACGCTGTTGCGACCTCGATCATAAATTCCCTTAGTCGCCTCTTACGACACCCATGGAAAAGGAAGGGATGGCCTATTCTATGTCTGAACCACACATAAATATACTGTACCGTTGAATAAATATTTTTTGAGACCCTAATTATGTGAAGTAACAGTAGTTTTGAGGATTGGGTTACGTTAATCAACATACTTTGTAAAAATAACAATCGTTACCTTGACAGATATTTATTTAATGGAGTCAATTGTCATTCCATCAACTAACCTTACACACCATAGATTTATTCCACCATATCCCTATATTTTGTTTTCTATATAGTTGGCATAGAGTGACGCACTAAATAACAAAATTTTTGAGGTAATCGCGATTTGCTATTTTTTTCTCATTATGCTTAAATCGTAATTAATTTGAAATAATGTCACTGTTGATATTTATAAATATACATTCTAATTTTTAATTGTAACAAACAAAAAAAAAACAAATTAAGATTATCTTAAAACTACAAAAATAACAAAGTTATTTATTTAGTCACATACGCCGAAAATATAAAAAAAAAAAATTAAGAACAATAAAAGCACCGTTTGTATTTACTGATGTGGTGACGAGAGTGAAAACATATAATTCGTGCCGTGCTATTGTTTATCGCTGCACCAACACGCATATCTTCTGAAGCAATTTCATTCGTTCAGTTTTTATCTTGACACTGTAAACTTAAAAAAAGGCTTAAAGCTTCACAACGCTTATTGGCCAGCGTTTTTAAATATCGATTCGCAAACGGCCGCGGTCGCATCACTAACCAATTAGCGAACCGATGTACACGCTCGCCATTTAATAGCACTTTACGCCTCAAGATGGCAGTCACGCGAAGAAACGAATGGGGCTGAACAGAGAACAAATGGAGGCGATGAACCGTGTCTCGCTGCCCGGCGCTATGAACGGACTCGACGGGCCGCAGAGGCCGACGCAGCTGAGCCTGGCGCCGCCGTCGGCCTCCACTTCGGCCTCGGCCTCGGCCGCCACGTCGCCGTCGCCGACGCCGAGCACGCCCGCCGACTCAGGTCCCGCCTGCGACGCACTTCGTCTTCTTCTTGGAATGCTCTCGCTCCCTCCCTGGCTGTTGCTTGTCGGTAGCAAGTCGAGTTGGTTCAATTGAATTTCAGCTTTATGTTTTCAACAATAAAGTTTTTTTTTAATCGTTAAAAACTAACTCGGCTTGCTTCAGTGAATGTTCTAATGGAACGCTTCAAATCAATGTCTTTGAGTTGACATTTCTTTGAGGCATCGTAAGGGAGCCGGCGATGTGGACCTAACCTCTCTTTTCTACTAAACATTAACGGAATGCGATGTGTGTGCTTATAATGCGGACTAACCGTCGTTATCATTCGGTGTTTAATATTACTAATCGAATACTGTGGAATCCGAATATCATATAAAATTACTAAATGCCTCATTTCTCAACAGGTTTTGCCGATGATTTGGTCACGAGAAGACAGAAGAAAGATGCTCAACTTGGTGGTTAGTACAGTTATTTAGCTATTTATAAATTTTTTTGGACATAAAAGGGCCTGTCATGAAATGTTTTTCGAAATTAGAGAGCCGAATGCAACATAAATTTAATGTTAAAATTACAAGATATATCGTCATAGTCGTAGAATACTGACGGATCTTTACATGTAATCTTCGTCAGATCCGTCAGTATTCTACAACTATGACGATATATGACATTTAAAAATATAAAATATCGTTCCTTTGGGCTTATATAGTTAAATTTACGACGAACTAAATGTTAAACTGCATTTTCTGGGCCGATTACGGTATGAACAAAAACACGAAATAAAAATTCGAAATTTCATTTTATAAAGGACTCGCAATAATATTACATTATTTGGTACTATTCTCAATATGTCGATGAAATATGAAAAGATAATATGTCATCACTCCTTTACATTCTTAAGATTTGGACAGATATGACTAGGTATGAGATATAATTTTTTTAGGACGTTAATTATCAACGCTTCATCTATACATATATGATCTAAGCTTTTATATAAAATATGAAAATATTTTCTTTTATTTTTAACAGAAGAAGAACGTGCCATGCGAAGGGTGTCGTACCTCAAAGCGACGTGGGGCGATCGATTGCACATGGACAGTGATGTGGAACCAGAGGGCGATCACCACCTTAGAAGGTATAAACATAAGATTCATTATCCCTCCCTTACAATTACAACCCAGTCATTAGCATCTGCTATATTTTTACATAATTGCAGCAACAGTTTGTTATTTTATAATAGTTTTTTTAGAAACAAAGAAATTATGCTGTAGAATATCAACAAAATTGGAGAATATTTTATGTAATAAGTTATATAGGGTTTAATTTGATCTAAAGAAATTATTAGCAGACCCTTTAAGGAAGTGTTCTACCAACGGAATAGAACATTACTCGTATTTACTAAGAAATAAGGGTCGAAAAATGTTTTTTTTTTTTACAACTTATAATGGCAAACAAGCTGACGGTCCACCTGATGGAAAGTGGTAACCGTCGCCTATAGACATGAGCAGTACCATGTCGACCCTACCTTGTGGTTCCGGTATAAAATGGGCCATCTCTTCCTTTCCTGTGAGTGTTTTAAGAGGCAACAAAGGGAACTTAATGATGTAGGGAAAGGCAACAGCCTCCCTTTTAAAACATCATTAAAAATCAAATTCCGGTGTCCAACTCGCCTGTCAAGCGTGGCAACTACTGGCAAAATCCCGCCTATGATAAACTGCCATAGGAAACAGCCCCGTTCCCTATGAGGGAGGCTTATGTTCAACAGTGAACAAACAATAGCTGATATGTTATGATGGCGAAGGAACGAAAAATGATAGAAACTTTCAAGGTCAAAATGTTTTGTTATTTTTTGACTCATATTTCTTTGGGAAGAATGTTCAGTTTCCCAGTAGAATACTTCCTTCTGATTTTCTACGCCCTATATAATAATTAATATTGACTGTACTCAGCATAATATAATAACAGAATCTAATGACTTACTACACAAGTAGAAAAATAGTCCCTTGTAGTTGTAACTATGTGCTCAGAAATTAATAACATTTTGTATTTAGTCAATGTTAGATACGACACGTCATTGTAATTAATTAGTACGTCGTAGAATAGATACTGTTAACGACTGTACCATCCCTTTACTGTGTAGTTAGTAATTACTTATACACTTATTTACAATTTTATAAATAAGTACACATGTTAGGTAAAATTCCTTCATAAAATATTCAGTAATAAACATAATTGGAGGTGATTGAAATTGAATTATGAACAGTGCGCACCGCAAGTGGCGCCCCCCACGTTTCGCCGATGACATTACGGCGTTGGTGCGAAAATTCGACCCGCACGCAGTCCTCCCCGTGCGGTATGTCGCATATAGCCGTTAGGTGGCGCTTGATAATGTGTGTGTGATATAGTTTACGAAATTGCAATAATAGATGGCGCTATACGTGATAAAAGTAACAAGAAATTAATTTTGTGAAGTATACATTCGAATGGATTTTTTATAAATTTATTTCTGTGAAAGCCTAGCACTGCATTGCCTTGAACCATCGTAATATTTATCAATGGGTAAGTGACGAACACGCCAGAAAAAAATAACAGTGAGATCATTAAAAAAATACTTAAATCATTCAGCAAATCATAACATGCGACTGACTTGGCAGCTTATATATCTACCACCAAATTCTACTTCAAGTATCTACACGAAATTATATTTTTTAACAAATAATACATTAGAATAATTATGTGTTTAGATGTCAGAGTATCGATTGCATGGAATAATGAATCTTATGTGCATGAAAGTTGATTTAAAATGCAATATTAGTTAAAAATTGTTGTTCGGCATGTTAATTGTTTGTCGTTGTTAGTGGTTTGTTCGTAGAAATCTAAATCATCTTTGTTAGTGATTTCAACAATGCATTCTATGCATTTAGTATTATAATATGAATAGATGGGTATATTTTAAATGTACCTAGGTAAAATGAGTTTCATGAAAGAATTATTAATAAGGAGAGTATAAAAAATAAACTTGAGTCCGCTGTGCCAATAGTAAACAAAAGTAATACTAAAAAAATATCCAATCATTGCATACCAAAGAGAGCCATAATGTTTTTGGAAAAATATAGATACAATATGTAACAAATTCTTGTCACAGTGGACATTGCTTCAGTTGATGGTAACGATGATCACACTACTTCTATTTTTGAAATCAGCTATATTAAATAAAAGTGAGCCTTGTTGTTAACGAAACTGAGTCCAAGTTTGTTTCGTAAGAAAGTTCTTTTGTGAAACATGTCTTTATAAAGAATAATTTTAATGTACCTAATAAATAAATAAACAAAACTTAAAATTCACAGATTTATTATTCAATTACATAATTTTGCATACGCAAATATATTATAACGTGACTATATGTAATAAAATAAAATATATTTACGAACATAAACCCAGATAGGGTAGTAAGAGACAATCGTCGATCTTTCGAAATTTGTAAACGTCTTTATTAATACTATTTTATCCTCAAATAGCCCAGAGAAGAAAGGCGAGGGTATCAGCGAAGGTATTGTGGAAGCTGCGGAAGGTGACGTTCAGGGTAATGTGCAGATCAAGGCAGTGGTCAGCAATGGCAAGGTTTGTCCAAATTATCTGTGTATAATTTGTTTTTCAACCGATTTCAAACAGAAATTATCAATTCGGTTGTATTTTTTTTATGTTTGTTATCTCATAACTCCTAAAGTTATAAAGTGATTTCGGAAATTCTTCTTTTATCTGAAAGAATATACATACTGATTGGCCGCATAGAATTTTCGTCAAAATCGGTTCAGGTTAAAAAAAAAATAAACTAAGTTTTTAAATCAAAATAACTGATTTGGCCATAATTGAAGTCCACTTTTTTTTTGTACAACACAATCTTAACTTATTTATACTTGGCATAATTAGTAACTATTTTAATATGTCACTTACGGAATTTAGTCGACTATTAAAGCAATAATTTTTCGTTGCGGCGCAAAAAATCGTTTCAAATCTATATGTAAACGCATTTTAATTATGTTTCGCGTTCTTAAATTAAAAATATTTACTATCTATGGTATCTATGCAACATTTTTTATATGTGTACATTACAATAAAGCTTATACAAACAAACATTTTATCATATATCGGTATGTGTGAATATAAAGTCGCTTTTTACCCGAATGCCCAAAACAGAAATGTCATGTTTTTTTTTTCTATTATGAATGAAAATGAAATAGTGACCCCGCCTGCGCTATCACTACCAGGGCACCATTAAAGGATGATAGGTAAGGATGAAGCAGATCAGTTAGCCTATTGTAAACCCCAAAAACTTACTAAACACAATAATAATTATCCACGATGATTTCCAAAAGAAACTGCGTGGAGGTCGACTTAATAGAGTATACTCGTATTGTCAACAATTGGACTGTAAGACCCCATTAGTAACAAACTCGTTCCCCGGAGGGTCATGTTTATAAGATTCATGTGTGTATGTATGTGAGCTTAATCTAGCTTAATCTTCAAAAGGGGGGTAAAGAGGTTTCTTCAGGGTCGGCAACGCACGCGTAATACCTCTGGTATTGCAGGTGTTCATAGGCTACGGTAATCACTTACCATCAGGTGGGCCGTATGCTTGTTTGCCACCTCAGTGGTGTAAAAAAAAAACTATCTGATTTTCTAAACAGATTTGGATGTATGAGGTATCATTAAAATTTTTTCATCATTCTGAGTAATACATTTAAAGTAATCCGCTTTTTCTTGACAGGGCATTTTTTTTAATTTGCGACACAAAACGTCATGTACATTTTTGTATATGACATGTGTAAAGTGTAGTTGTAATTGTGGATCTTAAATGATTGATGAAAATATTAATGACAATATTTTGCTCGCAGCGCGCAAGTGACAGATCGTGGAAACAGGTGTGGGCGGTGCTGCATGGAACCAAGCTGTACCAGTACCGGCATCATCCCAGCCAGGTTAGTGATTAATGCTATCATAATTATTTAATTTTTTTTTTTTTTTTTTTAATTTTCGCCTTAGTTTAGAAACATATTTAGAGTCAATGAATGTACGAAAAATTCGTTTTTCGAATATCAGTCAGGCAATCTGGGAAATGAAAAAGCCCATCTTACACGAATCATATTACATTATTATAACATATAACGTAGGCAAGGTTTTTTTATGCATAAAAATGGAATGATAACTTCACCTACGCTATCTGTAAATGCTGGTGGGGCACCAGTGAGAAATGAAAGCAGTCAGTTAGCCAATCTTAAAGAATTCGTCAAAAATTAACCACGTTGGTATCTAAGGGGATACGCAGAGAGGTCAACCTGATAAGGTTATTATATATACATATATTTATTGCTAGCAAAAAAGTTGTTAAACCCCATTACTAACAATCCCCTTTCACCCTACATTGTTAAGTGTAAAGTTGTATAAAGTGTTTTAAAGCTTCCAAGTAGATGTAAAAGATGTCACGTAAAATATGTATGTATACTGGAGCTAGGTATAGTAATAATCACTAAACGTAATGGGAAGATGACATGAAAAAAAAAGAGACTCATATCAGTTGCTAGTTTAATATCGTCTTATCTATAGTATTATATATTTATAGTATACTAGCTGACTCGGCAAACGTTGTTTTACCATATACATTATTTTTAGAACTATACATAAAAATGTATCCTACTACAATTATTATATTGGATTGTGAAAATTTGAGGTTGTATGTATTTTTCAATGCTAAATCATAATAAAATAAAAATGGAAATTTTTGTCAAAAAAATAAAAAAAATTCTTTTGGAGAGAGTCACTTATCATTGAGGGATATGAAAAATAGATGTTGGCCGATTCTCAGATCTACCCAATATGCACACAAGTTTTCATAAAAATCGGTAAAGCCGTTTCGGAGTAGTTTGGTAACAAACACCGTGACACGAGAATTTTATATATAAGATAAGATACGAGTAGGTTTAAATATTATAACTTAGAATTTGATTAGATAAATCGTAAGATTTTTATATTATTATCAAAGGTACCAAAATATAATTTTACTTGCTCGTAATAAAAAATCGGTTATGCAAACCGATGAAGCTAACCTTTGGTATGCACATCAAAAAATCGTATTCAAATAAATTTAGTTACGCACTGACGCAAAGCGAAGTGTATTTAATTAAGATAGAGAATGTCTGCGCGTTATCATAAAGTATATGGGAGCCCTACGACCTTCGCGTGAGGAAGATCCATCCCATTTATTTGCCAGCAGGTGTAGCCTTGGCGGCTCGATCAATGATTCCGAGAGTGTATACATATAATACAACTCGTGTACACTGTAGTGCAAATATTTTGATCTCAGTTTGTCGATGGAATGGAATATTATTAGGATTCCAGGCAGCACGTGTAGGCTTTTGTTTTGATATCATTTGTTTACAAGCACCATTTCACGGTAATACTTTCGGCGCGCCTATTTGACGCAGTTCACCCTATTTTGATTGTCTACGTTATGTTTGATATCCATTATCAAAATACTATTGTGTGTAAGTATTTATTTTAGCCAGCAATATGGCTAACACTAGTTTTTATCCAGGATTCCGCGGATCCTGGATATTGTAAGGGAATAGAACGAAGAGAGAAAATATAATATTATTTTCTATGTAAAGATAACAGCGTTACCTAACAACGGGTATAGTACCTAATTCAAAAGTTACAGTAAAATGGCCAGTTACAATTATTTATATTCAACAAATAAAATGTAATTGACCGGGATAAAAGTGTGGTATGTCCATCTCCATTCTAAATATATATATATATATATATATATATATATATATATATATATATATATATATATATATATATATATATATATATATATATATATACCAAATTTCATGACGATTCGTTGAGCTGTTAACAAACAACAAATTCACTATAACATATAATATTACTAACATTTACCCACAACTTTGTCCGCGTGACCGGAATAAAAATTAGCCTATGTCCTTCTCCATCCCGAATAGTACATGTATATCTTTTATAGCAAATGATCAACAAACTCAGTTTATTATTAATAAAGATAAATATTTAAGTTTTGTGCTATTTATTTCTTACCATAGGTATTATACAAATAAATAGTAGACTTAAAAATCATAAAATCAATATTCGATTTTTTCTTGTGGTTTACTTCAGTATTAGTTTCATATTAATAAAGTTTTGTTGGGATTTCTTGTACTATTTGTTTCCATTCGTATGGAAATCAAATAGTAGAAGAATAGATGTGACATACATACAAAAATAATACGAGTATTCCAAGCTAATAAATAAAAAAAATCATGAGAAATAGATGTTTTTTTTTTTTAATATTAGTTAAAAATAATGTATCGATAATCAACGACAAAGTTTTGTAACGTATCGTTGTTCGTTTTAAATGCGCAAGATACGAATTAGATAGACCCTTTAAAAATTATAAATTCCAAACGCGTCGATAAGTTATCTCAAAGATAACAATACTCTTCCTGTGCCCGTATACGCGCGCGCACCTGGCTTCTTGTAGTGAAGTGCGTAACCAGACTGTTTAGAGTATCGAATCGAATCGAATATCTTTTAGATACTCAGGTAATCGAATACTCAATATTACAGAATTCGGATAAGGGCTTCGTGTAATGATGGCACTCTAATATTAGTCATGTCTTTATTGTATTATTTTATATTTTATATACTATTGAATCATTTTATTCATTTCTCTATAATTATAAGTATTAAAAAAAATATATTAATAACCATATGTATAATATCTATTATATTAATTAAAAACAAGTTTCAGAAATCATTCGAAAAATTACTCGATTATGACGAAGTGCACGAATACCCAAACAAGTACTCAAGTACTAGTCCAAATCCTCCGACTCGAGTCTGACTACGATTCTTTTTTGAACTAATACCAAAATTAATTCATCCTAAATTGGCCCCGAAACTAGAACCAGATAGTTATTACATTAGATTACCAAAATTGTCGAATACTAGCGCTGGTAGGAGAGGAGGGCAGCGACAATAATAAAATAATAATATAGAGAGAGGCTTACCAATATAATTTCTTATGACAATCACAATCTAACAATATAACAATAATATATGTCACTCAAATAGAAAAACAAAATAAGTATCAAAAAGACATATTCATAATATAAAAATATAATGCTAAAAAGGTAAATTATATAAAAAGAGGTCTGTCGCCAACATGGCACGCCCCGGTGCAGAGCACCAATCTAAGGAGGCGACAAAAGCAATATCACCATGTCAATCGGACTTCCATCTTGTTGTTGTGGTGACGGTACAAATCTGTGTCGGTATGGGGCGAACAGCTTCAGTCGACGGAGTATCCAACAGCAAATGAAACACTGTGAGAGCTGGCGGCTTCTCAAAATCTGCTGGGACTGGACGTGGATTTATTAGCACCTCTGCTTCTAGTAGTAGAATTAGGTGTACTTCTTCCGTTGGTGCTTTCTGTAGCAAAGTTATGGAAAAACTATCCTTGATAAATCTGAAAAGACGTCCCCAGGAGCCACTCATTGATAGTGCTGTTGGACTCAATCATCATTCATCAATCTTGTTGTTGGCTGTAAAAACAAAGACCTTGGCAAGTTGGTTCGCTGCACCGACAAAAACCGTTAACCGTTTCGGAAACAATCTTCGACGGGCGATAAATCTTCGAAGATTATGTCGACAGCATCCACTGAAAGGCATCTCATGATTTCCAGGTAAACAGCTCGGGCGGTGAAACATGTAAACACAGCTACCTAGCACGTTTCTCGCTTGCATCTAATAGTAACCTCCACCGGGGCAAAGTTATAGAGACCGGTAAAAAAGAACGCCGATGATGCGATAACTTATCACCGAGAAGGTCACCAAATTGTGTCGCAGACGGGAGAAGCTTTATAACTATGCAAAAAACTACATTATTTGGCAAAAGACCTGATGTTAGAACACTGCATGGGAGGTTCTAAAATTATACCTACAATATTAAACATTAACAAAATATTAAACATTTACAATAAAATTATACAAATTCTTCGATTCAAATGGATAGAATCATCCTCTCCCAACATCAAGATTAGGTTTTTAAGCCTTCTTGATTGGTTGAGAAAAGACCTGCTGTAAAAAAGTACTTTTCAGCCTCCGAATAAATAAAATCTTGCCGGTACATCACTAGCTTGTTGCGCACGCGCCGAACCATTAAGGACCGATTGTGACGCTAACGGCTGAACGTTATGGTGATCTTTACCGTGACCGCAGCTGTTCTTATATTTGGTATCAGTAGCGAATTAATTATACGATTGGATCATTTAAAAAATATTATTACATTGTGTTTTGGAGGACACGTAAATTCACATAGATAATACCTACTATAAAACTTAATTTATCATCATCATATCACCCTTTAATTGTTCACTGCTGAACGTAAGGCTCCCCTTTGGGGGTTTTGCCAGTAGTTGCCACGCTTGGCAGGTGGGTTGACAATCACAGTTAGGCTTTAGAGATATTTCTCGTCTCTTACGACATCCACAGGGAGTGGCCAATTATATACCGGGACCACACGACAGAAAGTTTATATATTTTTATTTGATTTAATAATAATCACAAGATCAAAGTGAGACAATGTCAAGAATATTAAAAAAGACCATTAAAACACTGCAACTGATTCGATAATTGCAACTCAATCATTGATCTCGTGCCTCCCTTATCAGGATCAGACGTTATTTCTTCATTAAACAAAGGTCATAAAGTTGTTTTGCCACAGAAAGTTATCTTTACAATCTGGCAGCGTCACACGCGAGTGGAACGGTACTCCGAAGGTCTCCACTAACGTCACACACCATAAACCGAAAAGTGAAATATTCTCGTCCACTCGACCTTTCAGATGGGCCCGTAAATGTCGCGCGAAACACAACAGAAGCGTCGTTAACTCTACTCTTAA